TAGGGGTGGATGGGGGGGGAGTAGGGACGGGGTTAGAACAGTTTTAGTGTGTGGTTTGCTTCTTCTTTCTCATCAAACATCTATCGACCTTATCTCTACTCTTTCTTTTTTTATGTTTGTTACTCTCTTGTACTTTTTACTTTTACTCTTTCATCCTCTGTTGCCGTTAAACGTGGAGGGGAGATGCAGTTTTCTATGGTAAGCCAGCTCTGCGGCTCTTTCAGTTGTGATGGTATGTAACACTTCTAAATTAAAGTCTAATCTTTGGCACTTTGTATGACCAATTTGGGTTGAAAGTGATGTAAAACTCTTACCAAAACTAAAGCTAACGAGATGACTACTGTTCTCACGTGGACGCACTTCTCTTTACTCAGACTTAACTCATAAACCAAGCAGGTGGGTTGTCGGCGGGTGCTCTGGTGTTGCTTGCTCCTTCTTTCTTAGAACCCGCCCCCCCCTTCTATCGTCCTGGTCTCTCCTGTTTATGTATGTTACTCTCTTGCAACATCTCCAATCTTCGGCAGTTGTATGACCTAAATGTGTTGCAAGTGCTGTACAACTCTGACTAAAACTGAGGATAATGAAGTAACTATTATAATATTGTGTACATATCTTTATCTTTATCTCTGCTCCTTCTTTCTTTTGTGTGTGACCTAATTGTGTTGCAAGTGCCGTATAACTTTTACTAAGACAAACAGTGACGCACAAACCGAGCAGGCAGCAAAGTGTCTCTCATGCATCTTGTCTGGGAATAGTGGGTGGTTGGCAGGTGCTCTAGTGTGGTTTGCTCCTTCTTTCCTATAAAAAATCTATCGTCTTTATCTCCCTTTCTTCTTTTTTTTATGTTTGTTACTCTCTTGTAACACCTCTAATCTTCTGGCGCTCAAATGACCTTATTGTGTTGCGAGCGCCGTAAAACCTCTACTAAGACTAAACACAAGTTATCTCCCCTCCTCTTTTTTTGGTATTTGTCTCTCTCGTGAAGTGGCGTCGGTGGCCTTGTGGTTACAGTTAGGCTACGGAACCCGTAATCGAATAATCGTGAGATTGTGGATTCGGGGGTTCGAGTCTCAGCTCGGTTCGACATTTGTGTCCTTGAGAAAGACACTTTACACGGACTTCCTATTTCGTTCGGTCCTCTCGGAGATGGGCGATTAACTTAGAGGTCCCGCCTCTTAAATAATCTAATAGTGCTGATAGAGGCGTGAAACCGACACCTTTTCACCATTGATTTCACTCTTTTGTAACACTTCCAATCTTCAGTACGTATGTGACGCCGTTTAATCATTGTGTTGCTAGTGCTGTAAAAATGTTACTAGAACTAAAAAGAAAAAAGCAACAAGAAACCCCCCCTCCCCCCAGAAAAAACAACAAATAAAAAAACAAACAAAAGCCCCAACAAAAACCCCAACAACATTTGCCTCAGTTGGCTGCTCGAGACCTTCTGTAACTACACACTTGTCATTTCTTGATACTATTTAATAATAATACTCTTTGAAAGAACAATGGAACATGAATCAACATTTCCACCGAACGAGAGAGAGAGAGAGAGAGAGAGAGAGAGCGAGCGA